CAAATTCAACGGAATTGTTTCTGCGGAATTCTATTTATGATAACCTTGAAGTGTGTAAATACTCCACAAATCACCGATTCATTACCAATCAGATTAGATCTATCATATACTTTACTTACATGCAAAGTACTTCACAATGGAAAGCTTACCGATGCTTTTGAAGTGAAGACAGGAATAAGATAAAGCTGCCGCCTACTATCATTGATGATATTGCTGATTGTGGTCGATAGGATCATGCGACAAACTGTGAGGAACTGTGAGAAGATGGGCATACGTTGGACTGATGAAAAGACACTAGAAGATTTGGATTTCGCCAATGAGGATTTATGTCAAATGTCTCACAAACTTGAAGATCTACAGGTGAAAACTAACAATTTGACAGAAGAGGCAGGGCATCGAAAACGGGACTTCAAGTGAATGTAGAGAAGACGGAGGTGATAAAGATACCCAACCAACGACAACAAGCACCAATAACCATCATCGGGAGAAATCGAAATGAAGTTATCTCTTTCACCTACCTAGGCAGTATCGTTTCAAATACAAGCGGTATAGATGACGATATCAAGGCAAGTATTGGAAAAGTAAGACAGACCTTCCTTCATCAACCTGAAATCATTGTGAAGATCTACTGCACTCAGCGTAAAGAACAAGATCCAGGTTTTCAACATTAAGTCAGTGCTTGTATATGATGTCTGAGAGAGAGTTAGCAAGTTGTGAAAAGCATTTCCAACAAACTGGAGGCATACATCACCAACAGCTGCCATCTACACTCACTCGATACTGAAGATAGAGATGAGATGGCCTAAAGAAATAAACAAGAAGAAATTCTGGCTGGGGAAGCAACCAATTAAGAACCTATCGCCCAACGAATATGCAAAAGAATAAAGTGGATATGGATTAGGCATACACTGAAAAAAAGGTTTGTGGACATCATATTCCACAGCAGTCCAAGTCGTTGAGTAGAAGCCAAATGAGAAATAACAAGTTGGGCATAACATAGAGGAGATGGTGAGCATTTGTGTAGCCAGACTAAGGAGGAGGGCAGAGAAGAGAGTGGAATGAAGACATGCTATTGAAGTCATATGTTCCATTGAGAACCCAAAGGACAAATAATAATAATAATATACTTTACTATCTAAAGATCATTAATTAGGAAGCGGTATAACTAAGCAATATTCTTAAGATATTGATTGATTGGTTAAAGAAAAACTTGAAAAAAAATTTTTTTTTCTTTTTCACTCAATCTACCCACAGAAACATGTTCTTATGTAACATTGTAATAAAATATTGTAGATAATTTAGTTCATTTTTATATAGTCGAATATATACATTTTTCATTGTAACAACAACAAAAAAATGTCCACTATCTAGAAATTAGATTTTTATAGGTGTGGGATTTGAGTTTTATCCCCCAAAGTAGATATACCTCTGTGTGTGTGTGTGTGTGTGTGTGTGACAAGATAATCAGGAGAAAAGTGTGGATACATAAGGCAAAAATAATGCGGATGTTCATATTCACATTGAAGGTGAATAGTTAAATGTATAAGAATGATTGAAGAAATAGAGGAAAATTTTTATTTCAATATGTTATATACATGTTGTTATCTAAGGAGAATATATATATATAACACCATGATTGTTACTATTATTATTACTATTATTATTATGTTTTAAAATTCCATTTTAATTAATTAGTGTTTGCTTATCTACACTGTTTCCATCATCTCTCTTACATGTTAACGAAGTCCTTTTTTTTCCTACTTCTCTACCCTACTATCCTAACTCAATGGAACACTTCTATAAGAGACTAGAAGCAATGTATTGATTGCGAATTATTGATAAAGTAACAATACTACTACTACTACTCACACTACCACTACTACTACTACTACTACTACTACTACTACCACTCACACTGCTACTCACACTACTACTACTACTACTACCACTCTACTACTACTACTACTACTGCTACTACTACTACTCACACTACCACTATTACTCACACTACTACTATTACTCACACTACTACTACTACTACTACCACTACTACTACTGCTACTACTACTACTACTACTACTACTACTACTAATACTACTACTACTACTACTACTACTCACACTACTTCTGCTCACACTACTACTATTACTCACACTACTACTACTACTACTACTCACACTACCACTACTACTGCTACTACTACTACTACTCACACTACTACTATTACTCACACTACTACTACTACTATTACTCACACTACTACTACTCACACTACCACTACTACTACTACTCACACTACTACCAATACTACTACTACTCACACTACTACTACTACTACTCACACTACTACTACTACTACTACTCACACTACTACCAATACTACTACTACTCACACTACTACTACTACTACTCACACTACTACCAATACTACTACTACTCACACTACTACTACTACTACTGCTACTACTACTACTCACACTACTACTATTACTCACACTACTACTACTACTACTCACACTACTACCAATACTACTACTACTCACACTACTACTACTACTACTCACACTACTACTACTACTAGTACCACTATCACTACTACTCACACTACTACTACTACTCATACTACTACTGCTACTGCTACTGCTAATCGCCTTATAAAGTCTTTCTACTCTTGTTGAGATGAGGTCGATGGATGGATATGAATCTAGACAAAGATTCATTCACCACTAGGAATATCATCAATTATTAAAAAAACTGATATATTAGACCTGTATCAACTTCACTAAAGGGTAGAATGAAGTCGAATTAACTTGGAGATAACCTAGAACAGTCAGTATTAGATAATAGTGATCCATTGATGTAACTAACCTACTTCTATAGGAAGTTGATCGTCACTTGTCTTTGACTGAAGGACTGGATGATGCAGGTTTAGACTTTAGGCAGGATATTAGCTCCTTAATGATTGTAGATATCCCTTGCTAGTAAGTGGTAAGAAACATGAAACCGAAGTCAATCAAGCCTTTCTATCGATGATTACCTCCATTCAATTAACCTAAAACACTATCTAAAAATCCTTTTCGGAATTGCAACAAAATTAAGATCTGATGAGTAGATCAGTGGTAGCAGAGCATTGGGAGGGAAGCCCGGAGGTCCCTAGTCCATATCTTCCTATGATCCATATTTCCATTTCACATTTACTTACCATCAAGTATAAATAAAACGGTGTTGAGTATTTTACCTAGAGGTCCTGGGTCATGTATATGCCCCACTGGAGAGCCCCATGTAATTTGAAACAGCTACTCAGTACTCTCATATTTTCACAATTCTTCACCAATTGATGCTGGTCGGTGATGAACACTATTTTGGAATAGACAAAATCCCAAGAAATCTCTAGAATGAAAGTGGATTTCTTCGGATTTTTCAACCATAACTTGCTTCAACATATTTATAAAATATTAATTATGGATAATGGAATGCAGGCCGCACATTTCGTCCTATTCGGAGCTCGCCAGCTGGTGTTGTTCCCAATGGGATTCGAACTTGGCAGCAAAAGCTACAAACGTCACAGCGTTATACACCAGGTCACCGAGCCACTATAGCTACTTCTTATGCGACGAGTATAACACAATAGTATTCTTAAGATGTTCATATTTCAGTCATAACGGATTATTTAGTTTCTACAGATCAATAACTCAAGGTTATGAGGTATCATTGACGGAAGACACAGCGAAAATGGGACTTCAAGTGAATATAGAGAAGACAGAGGTGATGATGATACCCAACCAACGCCACCACCACCAACAGCAAGTTCCAATCACCATCAGTGGGAGAAACTTATGGGAAGTAGCCTCTTTCACCCACCTACCTAGGAGGTAGCACCGTTTCAACTACAGGTGGTGGCACAGGCACAGGCACAGTCACGGACGAGAATGTCAAAGCCAGCCACGATTGGAAAGACAGCAAGACAGGCGTTCATTAACCTGAAACCAGTGTGGAGATCTTCTGCACTCAGCACAAAACGTGAACAACATCCAGATTCTCAACACTAATTCAGTCAAGTGAGTCAGTGCTTGTGTGTGGCTCAGAGACTTGGCGCGTTATGAAAAGCATTCCCAACAAACTGCAGATATTCATCAACAACTGCCTATGTTGCCTCGATACTGAAGATGAGATGAGATGGCCAGAATAATCAGAATAAGCAACAAGGAACTCTGGCTGACCTGGGAAGGAACGAACCAAGAAGCTATCGCTCAATAAATATTCAGAAGGAAGTGGAGATGGATTGGACATACACTGAGAAGATCGACTGGGGATATTACGCATCAGACCAGGCCGTCGAGTGGAACCCAGATGGGAAGCGATGAGTTGGGCGTTGGAGATGAGGGTGACATGGAGGAGATCGTGTGAGGAAGAAGTGATAGGTTGTGGGCAGTCGTGGAGTCAGACTGAAAAGATTGCAGAGAAGAGAGTGTAATGGAGGCGTTCTACTGAAGCCCCTTGTTCCACTAGGAACCGAAGGGACAAATAATAGTGAATATAAACTGATTAAAGCGTATTCGAACTAATGGTCTCTAGTTTAATGATTGAACCCCTAAATAAAGACCAACTCAGTGGATAGTTGCGATATATTGAGAATTGGCGGAAGTAGTGCATTCTGATTAAGTAGTTGATTGGTAAACATGTTTCCCATGAAATTTAAAGGTTGTGGATTCGATCTCTGGAGGGATGAGTTCATGCATGTGCACTGGTAAGGGAGAAGGAGGTGTCGAGTACTTCCATCTTCTCACTACTTTCTTAACTAATATCTGTCCGTGATCAACCAATCAATCCAACCTTCAAAGTGTTGATATTATCTACCCCCTATTTAGCTAGACGGATATTTGTATTATGCATAGACAGTCGGCATTCTTGCAGTTATTCTACCAAGGATGTGTTACGTTTTATTAGTTAGTATTTTCTTCTATTTCAATTAATAAAGAATATAACAATATTCAACTTACTCCAGGTAATGTTTGTTTACCGTGTAAAGCATCTTGACATTTTAAAGCTGATTGCCGATGACAAAATGTAACGAAGGCACAACCTATTATGAAATATTGAACAAATGAATACAATTTCAAACAGGAGAATATCATATACAGACAAATAAATAAGCATTTTATTTCTCAATAACAGATAACTATATATATAATAACAAGACGTATATAGTCGAACAACACTTTTCTTTCAATTAGAGATCCTCTTCAAGCTTTACTCTAATATAAATCACCAAATTAAATCAGTCATATAGATTTATCGGTTAATGTATGTGATAAATGTCTGAAAAGTAACGATGGTGATAATAATAACAATACAAATAATAATAATAATAATGATAACGTTGACTAAACCACTTGCAATATAGATGATGATTAGAAGGAAGAAAGCAGCATGAAAATGTCGACACTCCGATTTATTCATGAAACCACAATCTACTGGAGATGTAACCAGTGACAGCTATTAGAAGGACCTTCTATGTCGAACAATTCTGTCTGTCATTTATCTGTCGATCAAGTGTTGTTGCTCAGAAAAAAAGATCAAGTATCTAGTTTTACCATTTCTATATGTATTTACAAATGTAGCCAGTCGTTTGGAGAAAGCTATACACGGTGTACTACTCCTAGACAACTTAACACACGTGTTACTCAGCATCTACCTTCATGGTTAGGGAAGGGATAGATAAAATCCATCAGAAGTTCTGTTTTATCTCATCTCGTTGATAGTGTAATCACTTGGTAGATAAGAACAATGCTTTCACGATTATACATGGCATACCATGTCATGTTTTGAAGGATATTCGAACTCGTCTACAACGAGGTAATAACAGAAGCTGTGGGAATTCTAGCTAATAACCCTAGTCTCTGTATGGAGAAGAAACTTCTTCATGCCTTTTCTCTCCTTTGGTCAGCTTCTGTTATTGTCTTGTTATAGACGAGTTCGAATATCTTTCAAAACATGACATGGTATGCCATGTATAATAGTGAAGGTATTGTTCTTATCTACCAAGTGATTACACTATCAACGAGATGAGATAAAACAGAACTTCTGATGGATTTTATCTATCCCTTCCCTAACCATGAAGGTAGATGGTAAGTAACACGTCTGTTAAATTGTCTAGTAGTACACCCTATTTAGATTTCTCTTCAGGAGCAGAGCAGCCAAGCTAGGTACCTTGTCTTTTGTCTGAGCAACAACACTTGGTCGATTGGAAGATGATGGATAGAGTTGTGTGACGTAGAAGGTTCTCTTAATGGGTATAGAGAGTCCCTGATATAAAACTTCTCCGACCATATCCCCATTAATTCACAATTTCATAAATGAAGGTTTCTTTTGTATGGTAATAATTTCAGGTTTGTTTCCCCTGACTTTGCCCATATATCTCTTTATGAAACTGTTACGGTAGCTCATTTCAACCAATGAATTAGGGATATAATTTAACTCCTTCTGTACCAGACCATCGGAACATATTTCTCGCGCTCTTTTAATGAGACATTTAACCAGGTTTGCTTTATACCGAATCGGTACATGACTTAGAAAATGTGTACACTGACTTATAGATGTAGTCTTCCTGTAAACACATTTACTGAGTGAACCATCTTCTCTTCTGCTTAGCATAATTTGTTATCGATAACTTCGAGACACAGTTTATATAGTCCGAAACTAGGTACTTGATCTTTTGTCTCAGCAACAACACTTAGTTGACTGGAAGATGATAGACAGAATTGTGTAGCATAGAATATCTGTTTAATGGCTTTAGATAGTCACGGATACAAAATGTCGTTGGTTACATCTCTAATAGATTATGGTTTCATGAATAAATTCAGTTTCATTTTTCTTCACTTTGTCCATATATCTTTTTATGCAGCTGTTAGGATAGCTTATTTCGATGAATGACTTTCAAATATATTCTGACTTCTTTTCTGTTTAATCATCTGTATATACATATGCCTGTCGATGTGTGTTAGTAAAACATTTAACCAGATCTGGTTTATACGAAGTGGGTATATGACTAAGAAAATGTGCATATTAACATCTACTGAGTGAACCATCTTCTTGTATGCTTAAGAAATCATCCAAGAAGTGTAGTTTACTTGGATATTCTTCTTCACCAGCGGAAATAAAAGAAGTTTATGAAATTTTTCTAAAATTTCATTTCACTCCACTAACTAAAACATTCAGGATAATGAATATAGAGGTTGTCGGTGAAAACTTGTAAAACCGATAATAATGATACTAATTTATTCATCTATCATATCCTTTTCAGTTTTATTCAATTTATTACTTTCTATTATATTTTGAGGGAGTTGTGGAGATTTGGAAATATTTCAAGTTGTTATTCATCGTAGACTGACTGACATCAGTTGGAGGAACAAAGGAAACCTGGGAGCACTGGACAGCTGTTTCGTCCTAGTATCGTCCTATATCGTGAGCTAACAGAAGTTGGAAATATGGAGCATTGGATTCTGACCCAGTGGCTCAATGGTAATGCGCTGGTCGCGGAACCTGAAGGTCGCGGGTTCGATCCCTGCTGGTGGGGTCGTGGGTGCGCACTGCTGAGGAGTCCCATACTAGTCGGATGAAACAGCTGTCCAGTGCTCCCAGGTTCCCTTTGTTCCTCCAACTGATGTCAGTCTTCGATGAATAACAACTTGAATTATTACTTTCTCTTAATTTATTCTCTTTCCATTTCTACTTCGGATAGATTAGCGCCTTCGTGCTCCATGTGCACACACACACACACACACCTATAAAAGGGACAGACGAAATCAATTTAAAAATACTCATACATAAGTGGGTCTCCTCAACTTTCTATACTTCACTGTAGTACACAAACGAAAGAAGTGATAAAAAAAAAGTAGATAAACTTGTATGAAGCAATAAACAATCTGAATATTCAGTCTTTATAAGATGTAATAGAGTGAATACATCTGTGATATACTATCAAGATTTCTCAACCAATCATTTCTATCATCTTTGGGATTCCAATCAGATAGATATCAGTCTATACCTCGCCTTAACCATTCTGATCAACAGTCAGGGGATTTATACATTGCTGCTACATCTTGGACTGCCCATCTTCAATGTCGTATCAATCTAATCCAACTTTATCTAGCATGGTATAAAGAGTGGTACATGGTGGCTTGGTATGCACAGTATGTATCAGAATCATCTCAGTCAATAAAATTTTACAACTTCATCAGTCGAATTAACTGCCTTACCTAGTAGCTTTCGCTCATATAGTAGCTTCAACAAATGTGAACAATGCTATCAAGGTATCTGTTATGAAAATGTAGTAACCATTTCACATCTTCAACTTTCAACGACCATATATCAATTTATCCATTCTTTAGTATATAGTCGAATATCTCACCAGTTGACGCCATAGACGCTAAGATTTCCTCATCAACTATACTTACAATTTCACTTCTTCTGATAAGTAAGTAAGAGATGTGCTGTAAGGCTCATTGAAGCAAATCCATCACTAACTGAATGACAAACGGTGTTGTATTATTCAGTTCCTAATACTGATCGTGTTTTAGTGGATGAGTTCTATAAATTCTTCAAGTAAGCTCAATGGATTCATATTACCGTATAGTGAAGAAGCAATGAGTCCAGTAGTGATGGTTAGTGGCTAGCAATGGAATCCTGGATGCAGGTTTCATCGTGTTTGGGAGTGGTGAATGGTATTGTCCCCACTGGGACTCGAATCCCGTACCCATCGATTCAAACGCCAAAGTGTTATTCACTACGCCACAGAGGAACGACAGCCACTTCTTGTACAACGGGTAGTAGTAACTAATATTTATTGGCGTACTTGTTGTTCTCCGTTGCTTGTTCTGTTAGATCAAATTGTTCGACCTCTATTGGTATATGGGCTGGTACACAGATGCCTCGATATTGCCTGAATATTAATCATGATAATTTCGTTGATTATGGCTAGCAGAACAATCCAACATGAGCGTTTTATCCGATTTGGGATTCACTCGTCACCTGGATGTATCTGTACCCCAGTGTTGAATGATGTTGTTTCCACTCAGACTTGAACCTTGTATGCATCGCTTTAAACGCCAAGGCGTTATCCACTATCCCACAGAGGAACGATAGCCACTTCTTGTACAACCGGTGATAGTTATTACTATTTATTGATATAATTGTTATTCTCCGTTGCTTGTTGTGTTGGATCGAATTATTCAAACAAGTATGTCAATAAATAGCAATGACTACTAGCTGTTGTACAAGAAGTGGCCATGGTTCCTCAGTGGGATAGTGGATAACGCCTTGGTGTTTAAAGCGATGCATACGAGGTTTGAGTCTGAGTGGGAACAGTATCACTTGGCACTGTGGTGCAGGTACATCCAGGTGACTACTAATTCTCAAATAGGACGAAACGGGCATCCTGTATTCTCCTGCTAGCCACAATCAACCAAATTATCATGATTAACATTCGGACAATATCGAGGCATCCGCATAGGAGCCTATATGCCAATATAGGTGGAACAATTCGACCCAACAGAACAACCAACGGAGAATAACAAGCATGTAAATAAATAGTAATTTACAATTTCTGTTAAATATAGAATATTGAACATAGATACTAATATAAGAGAAAAAGGAAAACAATAGTGAATTATTGTTTGTTTGTTTTTTGGATATTCCCCCATGTATCAATCAACTTTTTTAACATCACTATAGTAAAAATTTCGTTTTTATTTTCCTCATATAACTTAAGCTAGCAACTAAACTGAAAATCAACTTGAAAATTTTATTCTCAACTATATAAAGATAAATAAATTGGTATAACTATAGAAAGGTAGAAAATGTGAATGTTTCCAATTAGATGGATAGGAGACTATGTGAATAGAAAGAAATACTGAGAACTCTTCAACTATTTTGTCTGTTTTCTATGACACAATCAGGTAACTACCTGTAGATTGTGTAATCCACACATGTTAATAGAAGGGGTTAATTACGGGATAATTTGGGGAGACACACACGCAGAGAGAAAGAGAGAGAGAGAGAGAGAGAGAGAGAGAGAGGAGAAGG